AAAAAAAAAAAAAAAAAAAATACAAAATGGATCATTATTCTAAGGTTAAATTGAAATCCTTTTTTGCTAGATATGTTGATTGGAAAGGAAGAAGTAAAAACTTAGCTTTTTGACATAGGTAGTTGTCTTTAAGCTTGACTCAGAAAGACACAAATCGAGCTGCTTAAAAACAATTTGTGTCCCACAGTCATGTTTCTAAACTCCATTTATAACTAAGGTTCGAGATCTTACAATGAAAATATATGTATTATAGTCTATTTCATGTGTCACTGGACACAGGTTTTTTATTTTTCCGTTATTCTGAAGCTGAGAGCTTATCTCCCCTCCAACGCCCTCTTTAAACCTACTACTAAACTGCAGAAACAAAATGCCCCTAGGGTATTATACCACTCACGTCAAGAACCATTGATCTATCAGTCATCCATAGTTTAGGAAATACATGGTTTTTTATTTATTTTCTAAGTTCAAAATATTACGATATTCTCAAATCAAATAATTAATKCAAAGACTAGCTGGTGTGGAGATACTTAAAATAGCTCAATAAAATTACATCTGAAAATGGGTCATCTGGAGCTCTTTTATCCTATCTTTCTACTGTTTTGTATTGTCTATTGCTCATTCTCATGATAGTGGTCCATACTCAAAATAATATCTACTACCTACGGTCCATATACAATTGGTCGTATATCTGTAAATAGCATATCCTTTGATCTCTGCGGGGCTTTGTCAGTATGTCAATATATTGCCTAAAAGATTTTTATCATTTTGTTTCTCACTTGTGAATATTTTACCCTCACATCGTTACTTTCAGAAATTGATATTTTGTTCCATTAGTGATCTATGCATGTAATATTTATTGCTTTCCCAAGGTTGGCGTTATAAGATAATTTTAAATATTATAATCAAGTAGAAGGTGAAGTCACTTGAGCACATAGCATCATGATTTTAAGTTTTTAACAATCAATGTATTATGTTTTAATTCATCACGATTTTTCTTTTACTGAATTTTAGCTGATATTGTCAACTTTCAATTTATTAATCACTAATGGATATATGAGTTATTGGAGATCAATGGCCAAGATACTAACAAAAAATGCAGAGCTCTGGACGACGCCGGCGCACAACCAATCTGGAATGCACTTTAAGGTCAATTTTCCGTTCGATGAAAATACAAATCTGACTACAAACAATAATCAGAAAAACGAAGGGTTTGAGACCTTAAAGTATTAAAACAATTTTTTTTTTTATATGATATGTATAGATACTTATAATGAACGATATTTTGCTATATCTATCGGCTGTACACTATTAATACGCCGTATATATTAGGTTTAAAGTCCGTCAATGATTTTGATGTTAAATAATTAATAATATTTGATTTTCGATTGTTTTTAATTTGTGCCTACGCCTATTATATATATATATATATATAATATATATGATTGACATTTACAACGCAGAGATAATTTTTTCATATATATATATATAAACAACCATTAAATCACGACTGTTTACTATAAACGAGATTATTGAACATTATTGATTTTGTTTAATTTATGTTTTTTTTTTGTACCAACGATATTGCGATATGATTTGAAAAAAAAAAAATTCTTCAAAAAAAGATTTTTAGGTGAATTTGACGGACCATGCAGTCAAATGCGTACATTGAAAATTCGTGCTTTGAATATACATTCTTAATATAGTCATAGTCATATATATTGACATTTTATTCAAGGCACATATTACTTGAGGAGGTCTAGGAAAGCTGGTTGAAAAATGTCATCCCATGACAACACATTCATAAAAAACATTTGATCAACAATCAATTCGTCAATAACACTTACAACCGTCAATTTACTTATCATCGATTAAAAGGATATTTCATGAATTAAATCAAATATATTTTTTTTTACTTATTGCACTAAAATTAATTTATGCTTAATTAAGTCATCAAATTAATATATTGTTTTACAACAAAATTTTTTTTAAATTGGAAATGTAAAAATCAAAAAACAATTTTTAATAACTTTCAGTAATTTATAATACTGCCTATATGAATTTGTTTCAGTCATTCTACGGTACGTCAGTATAGAATTATACTTTATAAGTTATTTCTTATAACTTATAAATTATAAGTAATGATATAATACGGTTTGATTACAGAATATAATAATATAATAATATATTATGAGAAAATTAACTCATTCTACTATGTACCTATAAGCTATAATATAACAGCTAGTAAACAATTGATAACTTTATGAGCTGTATTCCTATAAAATATGCTTAAGAATAGAGGTGGGCTAAAATTTCTCTGTTACAAACTATTTTCGTACCTCTTCAATTTTTATCATTACATTTYAATAATTTGTCTATTCTATCACAGAGATTTATTCAATGATGAAATAGAATCGTTTAAAACCTATTTTGAAAAAATAAAGAGTTGCTTCATCTGAATATTAAGTTTGGCTTGTAAAGATTAAAAATAATCAACCGATTCGCATGAGAGATTTATTTTTGGTAATCCTAGTGATGACTATAATATAATATATAATGGGCTACTTTATTTACTTTATTATATAAATTGATATTTTATAGAGTGAATAATATGTTGTAGCGTGCTTAACTTTTTTAAAAATGTCGATTTTTTTCTCCATCCATACCTCAAGAAAGAAATTTTACTTCAAAACATAGAAAACACACTAAGCAAATGATGCGCTATATCACACTCGGACATATAGCATTTAACCATTCAAGCGGTTATTCTACTTATACATATATGTCAGATCATCGTGAGACACTCTGTATATTAATTATAAATACTAGTGGCGTAGCTAGGGGGCCATGAGTGTACTCCCCTTTGACATTTTTATTGGTGATTTAATCATGAGTGTTACATGACTTTAGGATTTAAGTATAATAATATGTACATTGTACCTATATCATACATTTTTTTTTTTAACAGCAAATAAATGGTAAGCAATAATTAGTTAAACAATATATTAATCATTGATGCACGGTTAACAATAATAAATGGAAAATTGTGAATTACCTACTCACAATATTTTGTGGCATATTATAATTTTTAAATAAAAGTGGCGCCTCCAGCTATGCTACTGGTAAGTACGATGATTAATATAATATAGTGTAATGATTTAAAGATTACCAACTCGTCGTAATTTAGTAATTATATGTTGCACTCAATGAATTTCTTTAGGTTGACTACAGAACACACGAGAGTTTTGTACGAGTGTATAATGCATTATTGACGTACATTTTTCTACCACCACCAAGCGTTTAAAAAAAAATTTTTTTTGAGKGGTGATGGTTGAGCAGAAATTAGGGAATGGAGGCAGGAATTGGAAGAATAAAGTACTAAATATTGGCGTTAGAAAAAATTGAAAACCGTAATGGGTGGGATGGGGAAATGTACGCCCTAAATGATGATAGATGGGTTTGAATAGTGAAGTATAGAATATATAGACTAGCAGTGGCAAACTTGCAGTTCGCGTCTTATTAAAAAAAAAACCAATAGGTATTTATTTATTACCGATAAAATTATAAAAATTATAAAATCTATTCATAAAAATTTTGACTCTTGAAATCATTGTGCGAGTATTTATCCATGTGGCTTGTGGACGTATTCGTGTWGTCCAATCTACGTATAGAATATTGAATATTGGATTGACTACTATCATTTTTCAAATAATATTATCATTTTGATTACCTATAATAACACCGGCTTACCTTCTAGATAAATTATAATAATTACATTTTTAGATTGTAATCTCGTATGGGGGGATGGAATATAGAATAAATATTAAGTTGTATTTTTAATCTATAATAATACTAAAAATATTATAATAAATTAGTCAAAGTGAAATATGAAACCATATTATTTTTAATTAAATTGCATCTGAGGAATTAATTAATTAATGTTATTTTTTTTAAAATGTTTTTACGAGTTTTATGCACATTTAAATTTGGAAACGGAAGAGGCTTCTAACCATTGATCAGACAATTTACTGGTTTTCAATTCAACAACGTATTGAACTTTTTTGTACGAAACGACAAGCTCAAGTTTCTCACTAATAATTTAAAATATTTTATCTTTATGATATGATATTCCTTTCTTAAAATAATTTAGTTCTTAAAATATTATTTGTTTGCTGTATTTGAAATAAATAAATATATTGAAATAAAATACTGTTTTCAGTAATTTTTTACCATTATAATCACAGTTACGTGTTTTATATTTTACGTGGCATACTGGTTAAGAACCACTGGATTAAACAAATGCAAATAAGCCATGAACCTTTATTTAGTTAAAATAAAAAATTAACAACATA